ATGTAAATTACTGGAAGCAGGGGGTCAGCTCATAGAATCAGCTAAACGTGATGTACGCACACACATAAAACAGTATTTAGGAATTTGCCACTTTGAAGAGACAACAAAAATCGTCCAATTGTAAAAACAGATGTATTGACTTCTAAAAACAATGGTTTTAATAATATTGACTTCAAAAACTTTAATTTAATTCGCGGATTGTGACTTATASAAATTTTTAATTTCATTATCATAATTATTGATATAGAGAATACTTTCGATGATATTTCATACAGATAAGGAATTTATGCGCTAATAATATGATAAATATAATATAATATAAATTATGGTAAAAAATAAAAAGTTAATATGCATAAAACTATGATTAGATTAAACCAATGGACATAATAATAACATATATCCTCCCCCCCCCCACACACACACACACAGAACCACAGAATATGAATATAATACATATAATATAATATTTGCTCACATAAGCGTGGTGAATAGGCAGTACAGGGTGGTCCACGATGCATGGTAAATTGCATTATTCTTCCTCACTCTACTGAAGCACGTAGTCATTATTCTGTAAACATAGATACATGTGATGTGTACACTATCTACGTTGATGATATCGATGACGATAATAGTATATAATATATATAGGTCCCCATAGCACATGTGTAATAATATATAAACATTATTTACGTCTATCAGCGACGCAACCATATAGTTATCATCTCACCCGATTGTGCCCTAACCTGGGATGTCAACTATATTCTGCAGAAACTGTAGCAAGGCGGCGTTGGTGTAGGTCGATCCATTGGACACTGATCTAGTGGTACATGGGGTTGGGGGCTGTATCTGTTTAGGGTGTGTGGAGCGCATAGCGTATACTACCCTTCTGGCCATACATCTACGACCCACTCAGCAACCGTCAYCCATTTTCCTCGGGGACAACACTATACATATTATTACATATATAGGTCGCATTGATATACGATACTAGATTTAAATCATTTTACACTTAATATTAGATTTATATCTATATCTTTATCAAAACGTTCGTGTGGAATGAAAGATAAGAGAGAGTAAGTAAGAAACTGGCGATGAGTGGTGGTGGAAGGATGGTAGAAGTAAATACGTAAACGTATATAATATAAAAGCACACTGTCGTGGTGTTAGGTTATTCTGGGTGCCTGCGATGTATACTGTACACATTGTATGGTGAAGTAGTAGCAGCAGCAGCAGCACTGGCGTGGACCACTGTTACACCGACATAGGGTTTGGGTGGTGTAGCGTATTATAYGGTGCAGGACGCGGTGGTGGCGGTGTAACGGTGTGTGGGCGTGTAAACTCCGGCCATCATCTCCCCGAAATCGATTTGACCTGTAGCGCCGTGACTCTATTTTCGATTTCACCGGCTCCCGGCTTTTTTAGGCTAAACACGCCCCGGAACACGATATGCTAGTATATATTATACACGCGCACTTTAGGTGTAGAAGACCTAAACTATGCATACAAATACACATACGCACGCGCACTTATAAATAATATATATACGCGTTGTTCGACTTACGTCGCGGTCGGTGTAGACCCGAAAGAGGTGTA